CACACACACACACACACACACACACACACACACACACACACACACACACACATATTGGCGCCGAATGAAGAGACAGGTCAGGCTTTATCAAAAGCAAGAGTGTTGCCCGCCACAGATATACCTGAGCCAGATGTTGCCAGCTAATGACGAAGCTGTGACCGAAAGGGGAAGAGGGCAGGCGAGATAGATGCCTCTCTCTCTCTCTCTCTCTCTCCCTCCCTCTCTCTCTCTCTCTCTCTCTCTCTCTCTCTCTCTCTGTCTGTGTGTGTGTGTGTGTGTGTGTGTGTGTGTGTGACACACATACACACAGAGGTCACGTGAGAAGGCACACACAGACACATCATCGCATGTTTTGAGGGCCCATGTCTCATGGCCAATCGTGAGTGCGCGTTTGTGTGCACATGCACTCCCCCACCACCACCACCGTTGCCATACACACACAGAAGAACACACCCACGTGTTTGCAAGCACCCATCAAGCTATTCTGGTCGTGTGCAGGTTGACAACTTGACACAACAGCAAATGGTGGACCAAGGTTCAACAACTGGTTCACACGGACCGGCTTGGGCCAAAACATTCTGCTGTGGTGTCAGCGGGGCATACCTCGTTATATACTATCATAAAAAGGTGTCCTAACTTGTAAATTATTCACCAGGATATATACACTCGTATGTTTGTGTGTGTGTGCATGGGTGTGTATTTGTGCGTGTTTTTGTTAGCTTGTTTTTATTAATAAAAAAGCAATTTACTGAACAATTTTCACATCTAGAGTCCCACATCTTCCTCTCACTGCAAGATCAAACTGGCAAGATTCACATTTGCACTGCAGAGCATGGGAAGAGAACCGCCTCTGCTAAGGTGTGGCAGCAGCTTTGCATCCTCCCCCTAAGCAACAAGCCCCATCCTCTGTCTATAGAGGCATGATCAAATCAAATTGCTCTTAACAGTGTATGCTCACCGATTCCATAAGCTCAGATACTCTTGAGGTGAATCCTGCCAGTGCTGTGATGCGTTTGTAGAGCAGTACAAGCTGGCCAATTGCTGTTGATGTGTTCTGGCACACGGCAGCCATAAAAACCACACACAAGCGCACGGGAGACATACAGATTGACCACATGAGGCCTCTTCGGTTTGCGGGATTGAGGGCCTCGATCATGAAGCAAAACACTCCACCGATGAAACAAGATGAAAAGAACAGTCAAACAAAATGATTGAATTACGATGTTACAGATAGCTCACAGGCGAGTTCAGTGGAGGCGCTGCAGGCTTCTCCTCAGCCAGAGCAGACTCCGATATGGCTTTCCTCCCCACATGCAGCAGGAAATCAGCAGCTGATTGACAAAGGCCGAAGATTAGATCCCCTGAAGTTTTAAACCACCAGTACATTCGAGAAAGGAGATTCAGCCTCTCCTAAGAACAGGAGGACATGAACCGCCGACTCATTTTATTGACGGTCCATGGCCTCCGAATTTTCAGGAGAGGCTCAATCTGCTTTTTCCGATGCACTGGCGGTTTAAGGGACTGCGCGAGAATGATTTTGAAGTCCGGTTGCAGGAGGCGTAATGTCAGATTTCTTTTTTCCTTTTTGAAAAAAAACAAAGTTTAAAAACACTCTTCTCTCGATTATACCTCCCACTGTCTACCTACCTATATCAGCAAGGAAACTACATCCAGATGTCTTGATATTCCACTAGGGTCGGGCCTAACACGGGGCGAGGGATGGAAGGGACGAAGGGATAGGAAATGTCAGATTATACCTCTTCGCCAGGGCAGTCCAACAAGAAAAAAAACAGGATGACTCAGCAATGCACAGCCGCACCGGGCTGTTTGCACTCTGTAGCCAGGACTTGAACTGGCAATCAATCCATAGTACCATACAGTGCATCTAATCCAATAGCTGGAAATGTAGCTGGATGCACCAGGCTGGGCCTGCATGCAATTGGATTGTGCATCTGGATGTTCCCGAAGGCGCAATGCACTTTCCTCGCCTGGAAATGTTGCTGGATGCACCAGGCTGGGCCTCAGCCTGCACCAAGACTCTGGATGTGTGATAACTTTTGCCACATGTATTTCCTGTTCTTTCCTTGGCAGGCTTGGCGTAATGGTTGAATATATCTCAGATACTGGCTCCTCTGCTGCTATGTCTGCACTAGCCTTTTACGTGTCTTCTTAGCGCAAACATAACAGCAATCATGGAAAAGGGTGATACCTCGAACTCTATGGAAAAGGGTGATACGACCTGTGGAATTTCGTCCAGCAGACGCCTTTTTGAAACTAAAAGTTAATTGTTTGAGTGGTTTTCCTTTCCAGCAACTGTTTTTCATACAGCTTCGCTCCCCAATCATTTTTGTGTTTTTTTGCTTTGCTGATCCTAAATGCCCTGGAACTACTCAGGCCTGAATATATCAGGCTGTTACTTTGCCAAATATTACCCCTAACTGCCGCTCGGCCATTTGGCATCTTCGTTTGTTTGTTTGCTTCTTTTTTTTTTTTTAATACAGAAAACAAGTCGTTATGGCCCTGGCTCCATATCCATTCTAGGGAGCGTTAGTCGTCTAAGTCTTTGATTGTTTTTCTTTCTTACCCCTGGATGTAAGAAACTCCAGCCCTGTTTTTCTTATACCTGAAGACCCTGTCATAAGCACGCCGGTCACAGAAATGTTAAACGACCGCCCCATTTTCATGACTGGCATAGTTACGAGAAGGGTCAGGCCCCACTGGTGCTATGTCCATGCTCGTAAAGCAGAGACCTGGCAGTAATGGCACGCACGTCCTTGCATTCACAGCATGAAAATAGCACCAGTGAAGTGTGGCCATACCCCCGTGGTAACCATGCTGGCCTCTCTGGAAATTCCTGGTTACGAAAGGCCTATCCTTTGTCAGTTCGTCTGTTCGATTGATGATCTGACAACCATAGGTTTGTTTTCTTTTCCTGTCTGAAAGGGTTCGGCCTATGTTTCTGGAACTAGTGGCGGTGGAGGTTTAGGTACAAAGCATCTTGCTACTCCTCTCGACGTCTTTGGCAGCAGGTAAAGCATCTGCACACCCCCTCCCCCCTCCCCAACCCCCCACAAACCACCCACATCGCCTTCCATGCAAAACATGTTGCAAGCCCCCCCTCAACACCCCCCTTTCTTCTGCATTTAACGCAGCCTGCAAACTACCCCCAAGTCCACCCCGCTTACCCCCCCCAACCCAACCCCCAACCCAACCCCCAAATCTCCCACTCCTATCCCCTTTCCATGAGATACAAATTGCAAGCCCCTCTAGACCCCTGTTTCTTCTGCATGACAAACATCTTGCAAGCCTCTCTAGACCCCAGTTTATTCTGCACGTACAGCATGTCGCGACCCCTTCAACATTCCCCCTCCCCAACGACTTACTCAACGCTGTCAGTTGATCTCCTCAAGTACAAAGCGTATTGCAACCCTCCCCATATTCTCACCTCTGAATGCCCCTCGGGATGCAAAATATACTGAAACCCCCTTTTCCCATCCCAATTGATTCCCAACGCTTCACATGTGAAGCACCTTGTCACGCCCACTACACATCCCATGAAGCATCCTGTAACTCCCCCTTACAACTCCCCTTTACCCCCCTCCTGCCTGCACTCGCTACTCCCCTCTTCCCCCCTTTTTTTCTCTTTGAAAAAAGGGCAACGGCCTAGAGATATCATCGTCGAACGGACCGGCCCCAGGTAATTCAAGAATTGCACTCATCCAGTTTCATCTGGATCCGAACAGTACTCCATCAGTTTATGAGGTGTATCGACTGAGCTAGGCCCATACTCCCCCTCTTCCCCCTTGGGCACAAAACATCTCGTACATTCATAGTACACTCAACCTTCCTCCCTATTAAAACCCAAGCATTTTGGTACCCCCTCATGTACACCCCCCTCCGCCCCCTCCCTCCTCGCTCCCCTTTTCATTTATACACTCAACACCAGGACTAATTAGTAATTACGCCCTGTCCGTCAACCTTCTGTAACCTTTCCTTTTCTTCTCTTCTCTTCTCTCTTTTCTTCTTCTTCTTCTTCTTCTTCTTCTTCTTCTTCTTTTTTGTCCGGAATTTTCCGGACGTCAGTCCGGCCAGACCTCATGCTCTGTCCGGGTCTGGGTCCAAGGTAACCATGGTTTTAACCCTTTAAACCACCAGTGCATTCTTAAAAACAGATTGAGCCTCTCCTAAAAAATCGGGAGAGGCTCAAGAGAGGCTCAATCTCCTTTGTCGGGTGTACTGGTGGTTGAAGCCTCAGGCCATACGCTCTAAGAGAAGACAGAGATGGGTCTACGGCTTGCCCCAACGTGACAAACAGCTACTGAGGAAACCAACGAGGAGAAAATAAAATGACGTGGAGCAAGATTACCATCATAAGACGCATGGACCTGATGTAGGCGCCCGTCAACTCCGCTTGACTCGCCTTTTCCTTCATGGCAAACAAACAAGTATAAAAGAGGGAGAGAAAAGAAAAACAGCATGCAAAAGAAATACAGTCAACAAAGGCAGGAAAACTGCACATCATGATGCAGATAAAATGAAGCGCTGAGGATCAACGCACCTCCTTTCACAGCAGCCAGTGAAAAAGGGATTCGCCAGTCGGTGGCAGGAGGATAATATAGTTCATTAAACTTCATTTATTATTTGTATAATTCCACTTTATATATTCCCTGATGGTTACATGATTTTAAAATTTAAATCCAATCAAAGCAATACAAGGAAAAGAGAAAAGAGCCGGCTGTAGAGCTTTGGAAGTTGAAAGCTAAAGCTCATACCAAGATTTGGAAACCCAGTCCATGAATGGCATATAAACATATCTGACGCACATTTGGTAGATCGGTTTTCTGAACTCGAACACTCGACCAATACCGTCCACGCATCTTCATTTTCACTACGTCAGCAAACTCAGCACAGTCATTTGCCGTCCAAGTAACTTAGTGGATATAAGATGCGGAAAAAAAACGAATGATGGAACCGAAGACTCCACCAAAGGCGTGAAGACTGAGAATCAAGCCCCACTCGTGCTAAGCTAGCGCTTGAAAGGCAGGAACCTGGCCATAAGAAGGCCCAGAGTCATGCTCTCCTACACATGAACATAGTATATTAGCACAGTCATGTACTGTCCAAGTAAGGAACCTGGCTATAAGAAGTGCCAGATTCATGCTCCCCTAAGCATGAACATAGTACATTAGCACAGCCATTTGCTGTCCAAGTAAGGAACCTGGCCATGAGAAGGGCCAGATTCATGCTCTCCTAAGCATGAGCACAGCACATCAGCACNGGAACCTGGCCATGAGAAGGGCCAGATTCATGCTCTCCTAAGCATGAGCACAGCACATCAGCACACCTGGCTATAAAACGGGCCAGATTCATGCTCTCCTAAGCATGAACATAGTACATTAGCACAGTCATTTGCTGTCCAAGTAAGGAACCTGGCCACAAGAATGGCCAGATTCACGCTCTCCTAAGCATGAGCACAGCACAACAGCACAGTCATTTGCTGTCTAAGCAACTGTGCAGATAGAAGAGGCGGCCAAGAATGATCAAACCACAGGCAGCGAAAGGCGAAACCCGAGAACCACGCCCCACTGGTGCTAAAGGCAGGAACCTAGACATAAGAAGGGCCACATTCATCTCCTAGCAAAAACACCAGTGGGCCTGGCCCTTCAAAAGCTAGGCAGGAAAAAAGAAAAAAGAAAAGAAAAGAAAAGAAAAGAACAGCCTTTTCCCTCAGAAAGAAACAAGTTCAAACAACCGACTGTCTGCTGATTGCACTCCAAGGTCCCATAAAAGCTCACATAGCTAAGTTCTGCCGCTTCTGCTTCTGCGTTTGTCGTGTTCAACTGCAATGTTTCCGCTTACCTTGGGCATCAGATAGATAGGAGCAGCATAAACACTGAGGCCAATAATTGAGGCTGCATATTTTACCATATACCCATCCGCAACCTGGAGGGGGAACAAATCACACAAAAAAAAGAAAATCAAACAATTCAAAAAAGTGAAGTCAAACAAGTTGAAACAACACAATTTGAATTTTGAAGTGGACAGAGTCCGGATAACATCAGCTGCTTTTCTTTTCTGGAAAATCATCAGTCAGACAGAAGAACAGAAGTCAACCTATCACTCATTCCATCAATCCATTTTTCAGTCTAGGCTATCGTCTTCACCCGAATACAACGCACGGTCATTCTGGCGGTATTTGGGGCACCTATCAGCCCAGATACAGCGATAGCGACCGTACGTTCTATTCGGCAGAACACCCTAGACGATCTCTTTCCACCAGTTTTGTGGAAAATCATCAGTCAGACAGAAGAGCAGAAGTCAACCTATCACTCGTTCCATCAATCCATTTTTCAGTCTAGGCTATCGTCTTCACCCGAATAGAACGCACGGTCATTATCGCTGTATTTGGGGCATCTATTAGCCCAGATACAGCGATAGTGACCGTACGTTCTATTCGGCAGAACACCCTAGACGATCTCTTTCCACCAGCCATCATATGCTGAATCAACATACCCCATGTCGAATATCTGGCAGTGAGCGTGATGCGTTCAAGATGGAACGCTGATGGAGAGCCGTTGACAGGAAAACGTCATGTATGGTCCGGAAGGCGTTTCTAGGGTCCGCAATTGAAGGGTCTGGATGGTTTGTCCCCTTTTTAAAGATCTGGACGCTTGATGTGAATCTGACCCCTTTTTGAGGATCCGTTCATTACAGTTTACAACGCCACCAAAACAATATCTTGCATACATACCATACCTGTGGTGCATGCAGTGCGGTACGGGGATCTACGATGCGCGCACACCGCGCACACCGTGCACACCACACACACAGGTGCAGTGCGCTGGGCGGCACCCTTGTTTCCTTTTTTTCTGTTCAACTGATTGCATCTGGGTTCGAACTTGCATCTGCATTTCAACACTTCATTGGGCTTCAAACTGAGCTGGGCTCAGTGCTACACTACTGCCCTTGTGTGGTGCTCACACTTCTTCTTGTTTTTTCGGTATGTGTGTGTGTGTGTCTGTGTGTGTGTGTGTGTGTGTGTGTGTGTGTGTGTGTGTGTGTGTGTGTGTGTGTGTGTGTGTGTGTGTGTGTGTG